CCACCCCCCAGAGCTCACAATGCCCAGAGAAGAGAGCTGAGTCCAGCCAGCCCCTGGGACAGGAGCTGGGAGGGAGCAGTTGGTGCCACATTCTCTGGGAAGCACCAGCCCCCAATGTACCCTGCAGCCAGATGACACTCTGTCTTACATACTCCCTGTCCTGCCCCCCATCAGCTCCCCCGATGTACCCTTCTCCCACAGCCAGGCAATTTCCCCTCCATCAGAGAACCCATCCTGGCCCCAGCCCCCGAGATCTTCTCCCACTGTGCCCCTAGCCCCTTCTGCCCCCATCTCCTTCCTCTAGCTTCCCGGCTCTACCGCCAGGAACCCAAATCCCCTCCACCCCTTTACCCTCTGCTCCTCATGGGCCGTGGGTGGGCGTTGTGTGTTTTTTGGGGAGCTATTAGCTGGCTGCACTGCCTGCAGTCCCCTCTGCCCCCCGTTCCTTCCCCAGCCTCCCCATTGCACCCCCATTCCTTCCTCAGCCCCCAGGACTCCCAGCTCCATCCTCACTCTACCCCCAGCCGCCCTGATCTCCCCACTTCACCTCCAGGCCTCCAAATCCCCCCTTATCCTCTGTCCTTCCTTGGCTGTGAGTGGGTTTGTGTTTTGGGGGTGTCTTGGCTCACCACCCCACCCCCAGTTGATATTGGGGGTTACACATCTGGTCTGGAGCCTCTGACCAGCATCTTAGAGCATCTGGAGCATCTTAGCTCTGAGCTCCCCCTCCAATGGAGCCCTGCTGGGGGGGAGCACTGGGTCTGATGGCATCTGAGGGGGGTCATGACAGGCCATCAAGGTTACAAATGGGTCCTGAGCCCATAAAGGTTAAGAAACTGTTCTCGGGCCTGCCTGCTCTGCTGTCAGCATTGCTGCCAGAGCTGGAGTCAGCCTCATGACCCTTAGACCTGTGAATTCTCTGTCGTCATTTCTTTGTCCCCCCTCCGTCCATCAGCACCACACACAAGAGCAGGATGAGTTCGGCTGCCCATTTCTGGGACAGTTAGTGGCACAACTGCACCTGCAAAGGGACCCTAAAAGACACATTTCAAACACTTAAGTGGAAATACATTCAAACTAACCAGCGGATACTCTTGGGGCAAAGGGGTGTGTAAGCCTCCAGAAAGGGAGAGACGCATAAGGCCAAATGCAATCCCCGACCTAGGGATCAAAGCAGGTGTGGAGTAAGAGCTGTGCCTGCAGTTACCCGCAGTGGAATAAAAACGATCAGCTCGTCCTGCCGTGTGAATGGTCCCAGCCGTGTTCAGGAAGAAGTTTCCACCCATGACTGCTCAATTAGGTGCATCACAGGCGGCTCATGGCTTCCTTGAAAGCCCCCCGCGGGGACCACTCTCAAGCCAGGCTACCGGATGAGATGGTCCATTTCTCTGTTCCGCTCTAGCGGTCCCTGCTATGCTCCTAGCCCTGGTGCTTCCACAGGGGTCCCCGGTTTCTCTTGGCAATCTCTGTGGCCAAAGGGAGGAGCAGCTTTGCCCCCTCCTGGCCTCTGGCTGTCACTAAACCTCGTACAGCATTTCCCAGGCCCACTGTGCTTGGCTGAGAAGGAAAATTCGCCAGGCAGGGGGAAGGGGAGACAGGCTGAGGGAGGCCGAGTGGCTCTGAGTGGGTGGGTGGCGTTGGAAAGCTCACCTGAAAGCTCCTTAGGGTGAGTGGGGGGTAGTGGTTAGCACATCAGGCTGGGCTCCGTTTAATCCCACTCTGCCCCTGCTGGGAAAGGCGCTCTGAGCTCCCAGCTCTGTGCGGTGGAGGGGAGACTCGCCTGGCTCCTGGGGACATGGGCATAAAGGGGTTTCAGATCCTCCGAGAACAGAGTTTATAGCTGGACCTTCACAGCGTCTTAGGGCTGGCTGAAGATCCCTATGGGAGCGATGCGGCCCAGCTGAGAACTGAGCGGAGCTAGGAGCGTTCCAGAGCCGGCTCCGTGCTGGGGGGCAGAACACGCCGCACTGAGTCCAGCCCCACGGCAGCGAGGTGCCATATGGCCCTTAATCGAACGGAGTCCCCCAGTGCAGCTGGGACGTGTCCCCCAAGGTCACACCCAGTGTCAGTAGCAGGGCTGGGGACAGAACCCAGGAGTCCTGGGGCTGGTCTATCTAAGGTACTTCTGTAGCTCCCATTACCATGGTATCCATGTGCTTCACAAGTGTCCAGGTGTTTCTCCTCCCAGCACCCCAGGGTGGTGCAGGGCAGGGCTTTATCCCCACTGTACAGATGGGAGCTGAGGCCCCGCGAAGCTCTGTGACATGCCCAGGGTTGCGCAGGAAGTCTGGGGTGGAGCAGGACAGTGAAGCTGGCTTTCCCAATGCCCAGGCTTGTGCCCTAACCACTGGGCTACCCTCCCTCTCCAGAGGAGACGAGTGCTGCCAGCCAGGCATCAGATCAGCTCCTTCGGGTGCCTGGGGCAGCAGGTCAGAGCTGGGTCCCTGGGCACAGAGTGTTCTAGGGGCGGGGCAGCCGGTCAGCCAGGGAAAGCCCTGAGTGGGACAGGGCATGAGGTGATTGCTCACTCCCCAGGAGACATGAGGAAATGGGGTCATTTGTGCCCACTGAGCAAAGATCTGGCCCCGGGCGGGAAGATAAATACAAGCAGCCCAAGGCCCTGCTGTTCCTGCCATCAGTCGCCTGACAATGGGGTAAGGCTGCCATCTGCTGTCTGCTCTGGACGAACGCAGAATCTGATAGCCCATCTATACATGGACCTGTGTACACCTACCGCACAGGGACACACCCGTACGCGCCTGGCTCGGCCCGTACCTACCACACACGGACACACCCGTACGCGCCTGGCTCGGCCCGTACCTACCACACACGGACACACCCGTACACCCCTGGCTCGGCCCGTACCTACCACACACGGACACACCCGTACACCCCTGGCTCGGCCGGTGCCTACCGCTCACGGACACACCCGTACATGCCTGGCTCGGCCCGTACCTACCGCACACAGACACACCCGTACACCCCTGGCTCGGCCGGTGCCTACCGCTCACGGACACACCCGTACATGCCTGGCTTGGCCCGTACCTACTGCTGATGCCTGCAAGTCCGCACAGCTGCACAGGTTCAAGCCTCGGGCATATGCACGCACCTGCGCTGTGTGATTCTTGCACAACGGGCAGCGTTCTCTGCCGGCTCCTGGACACATCGCCACACGGGGACACAATGGATCCCAGTCCGTTTTATTACATAAATAGGTTAAAAGAGTTTCCCCCTGTAATAAAATAAACCCCAAGTCTCCCCCTTCCCCACAGGCCCTCCTTTCCCAGCTGAGCGCTGGGACACCCCTGACCTCCCCTCCGTTCCCTTAATATCTGGGCTCCGGGGTCAGAGCCCAAGCCCTGCATGGCCTTGCTCCTTGCCCGCCCATTGAGGGTGGGAAGCAAGGCTCCCTCCGGCTTATGGGCGATAGCCACTCCTGCAGCTGCAACCCCGCCCCAGCCCACCTGCAGCCGGGAGCAGTTTCTGCCCAGCCTGCTTCAGGGGCCCTGTCAGATCTCAGCCCCTGGGGAGACACAGCAAAGAAATGCAGAAAACCGTCCAGGGCTTAGCACCCGTTGCAAGACAGGTGCCCCTGGCTGCTTCAGCCTGGGCCATCCCAGGTGGCAGGTGCAGAGTCCTGGAGTCCGGCAAAGGGCTCCCCCTGCAGGCGAGGTTGGGTGTGGAGGGGTCAAACAGGCAGCTCCCATTCCTGGGGTTGAGAGCGGGTCTCTGAGATAAGGTAGGCGGCTCTGGGCTCCAGGAATCGGGCTGTCTAGTGAACAGCTCCCACCGCAGGTCTGGTGCGGAAGGTTGGGTCTGACCAGCGAGCAGCTCCTAGCGCAGGTCAGGGGTGGAGGCGCCCAGGTAGGTGCGAAGGTCGCTGATGTTCGACGGGATGATTTTGGCAGGGATGGTCTCCCTGTTCAGCCGCTTGTACGCTGCGTAGCGGTGACACCCCCCGAAGGAATAGAAATAATCCCCCCCTTGGCTGCCTTTGATCCAGAGGATGTCTATGGGGGGCACCTTGTCCACTTCCTCCTGGGGAGCAGAGAGAGAGCTTTAGAAACAGGGGCAAACAGCAGCAGGGAGTTAACCCCATCCAACCCATCGGCCAGGGTCTCCAACACCCAGTCGCCCCAGCTGTGAGCTTCCCCGCAGCAGTGCCTGCTCAAGATACAGGCTGACGTTACGTTCCTGGCAGTATTGGTATAACCCCGTGTTGCCAGCACAATCTCAGCATTCCCAGGATGAACGCAGGAAGAGCAGCGCAGCCACTCCACACAACCCTGGCATTGCTGGCATGGCCACCCCCTGCACAACCTGGGCTTAGCAGGTGGCCCCGTTCGCAGCATCACCAGCAAAGCGCTGCCATCACCGGTACAATCCCAGCATGGCTCAGTGCCCCCATCCCAGCATCACTCAGAGCCCCCATCCCAGCATCGCCGGTACAATCCCAGCATCGCTCAGTGCCCCCATCCCAGCATCGCCGGTACAATCCCAGCATCGCTCAGTGCCCCCATCCCAGCATTGCTCAGTGCCCCCATCCCAGCATGGCTCAGTCGCCCCCATCCCAGCATGGCTCAGTGCCCCCATCCCAGCATCGCCGGTACAATCCCAGCATCGCCGGTACAATCCAAGCATCGCTCAGTCGCCCCCATCCCAGCATCGCCGGTACAATCCCAGCATCGCTCAGTGTCCCCATCCCAGCATGGCTCAGTGCCCCCATCCCAGCATGGCTCAGTGCCCCCATCCCAGCATTGCTCAGTGCCCCCATCCCAGCATGGCCTGCGAAGTGCTGCCATCCCCAGGATGTATAACCCTGGTATTACCTGGATGGTTTTCATGAGGCTCGTCACCTTGCTCTCCTCCAGGACTGAGGGGAGGGGTCTGATGAGCACGCTCATGGGGACGTTGTGTACGGTGGGGATGTTGTCGGAGTGGATGCTTCTGTTCCCCTGGTCTTCTTCCGCTGGGCCTGTGCTAGCCATCGCTGTGGCCCAGCCCCTGCCAAGAGCCCCTCGGAGCACACGCCACTGCCCTCACCTGCAGCATCCACCGCTGCCCCAGGGCCCCGCGGAGCGCTGCCGGGGAGGCCTTACGCCGAGGCACGGATTGCACCGTTTGGAATTGCAGGGAGTGCAGAGGAATCTGTTCCCCAGCCCAGCTCCACCTCGCCTGGGTCACCGCCCCGGGTGGATTTCTCACTCTGTGCCTTCAGCCTGGCTGTGTGTGAGGTGGAGAGGCTGTTTCCGGCAGGGCGAGCGTGGCTGAGTCACAGTGAGTGTGCAGTGTGCAGTGTGCTTCGCCCACGCCCACGGGGCAGCCGGGAAGCCAGTTCCATCATCGCTCCCCTGGAGGCGGGGCCTACCTTCCTCTGCCGACTCAGAATGAACCAGCAGAACGGAGTCCGGGCATCCCACGAGGAGTCTGGGGGCTGGGGCTGGCCGAGGGCCTGTCCGCTCAGCATGGCCCTTAAAGATCCTAGGCTGCAAGTCCCAGGAGCCCAGTGTCTTTAACCAAATCATTATCTCCTCGCCCCAGCCTGCCCTCCACCCCAGAGGTGGCTGCCTCTCAATGTCTCGGTTTGGGATTGTCCAGCCCCACATACACATAAACCTCTGCTCCCAGGGCGATCGCTGCCCTTAGCCAGAGAGCGGCTTGCAGCAGGGGCTGCGCAGCGTGTTGGGGACGTGCCTGGCACGCAGCCAGCGCTACTGTAAATAAATAACCCTACAGAATGACCGTGGGCCCCAGGACTTCCTAAAAGCAGCTGGCAGTCGGGACATGCGCCTGCCATGAGAGTTCGGCAGGGTCAGCGGCCGCGGTAGTGACAGCCGGCTGGGTGGTTATAGGTAGGAGCCTGTCGGTCTACAGCCCCCACTCTCAGCTCACTGCCCTTTCGCTGTAGGGAGCTCTGGCCTGGCCCGGCTGACTCTTACCAGAACTTTTAGGATCCTGAGGTTTACTGTGGGTGGGTCGTTAGGATGCGGCCTGTAGAACTACTGTCCTGTTCGTTGTGCAGGGACCTTACAGATCCCCCGCCACTTTTGTCCTGAGCCAGAATTTTGTTCTGGGCTGAACTTTTCCTTCCCCTGCTGCATAGGCTATCAACGTTCTCCACCCCAGAGGTGGCCGCATTCCAGTGGCACTGAATGACTCTAGCATTGATGTCCTTCCAATCCCTGAGGACGGATGGTGCTGCATTAAAACAAAACAAAAAAATGTGATTGAGCAGCAAGGAATGAACGTCGCTATCCCAGTCAGGTTTCTATACCAGGGTTGGTGTAACAAGCGAGGCCACTACATTGAGATCTATCCACAGCCTGGGTCCAAATAACAGAGGTGGCCCAATTACAGCTCAGTGCTCTGTTGGGTCATCTCCCTAATCCTCCTCTTGTAAGACATCGTCCCAAACGGTGCTCAGCTGGGGCAGGCCCAGAGGGACGATGGGCCTGCCGTCCCCTCCCCCTCACACCTGAAGACAAAGTGGTGACTGGCACAAGTGAGAACAAAGCCGATGGAGGGCTGGTGTGCATGGCCGATGAACCGAGCCAGGGGCAGGTACCTAGCAAGGCGGGTGTGAGTGCAAGCAGATGAGATGTGGTTTGGTTTTGATCCTAAAGATGCACACACGTTTAGACAGCAAATTGAGCGCAGGCCTGGTGCTCCTGGCACGTCTTGGTGTCACCCGCGGGTGCACACGCAGTGGAGACACTGGGGCTCCGTGATGGCTCATTCGGCAGAGACTCCAGAGCCCACGGAAGGTACGTCTACACTGCAAAAACAAAAAGTCCCACAGCAGCAAGTCTCAGCCCGGCTCAGCTGATTCGGGCTCATGCTACAGGGCTAAAATGAGCAGTGTAGACCTTCGGGCTTGCGCTGGAGCCCGGGGTCTGAGACCCACCCCCGTCGCTGGTTTTCAGAGCCTGGGCTCCAGCCCGAGCCCGAACATCTACATCTATGGGCCGCGGGTCATTTTTTGCAATGAAGACATAGTCAGTTGGGGATCCAGCCCCCTGGTGCCATCCAGCTAGGAAACCAACCAGGGATGATCCCGTCTCGTCACATTGCTTTTAGGAAAATCAGTCAGTCCCTGACCCATTTACATTGAACTCGGGTGGGGATTGAGAGAGGCATGGTCTGAACGCAGGTCTAGGTGCTAGCATCTCCTGGGGTCTAATTCCCAGGCAGCTCTGACACTGACTTGCTGATGTGGCATTGTGCAAATCACCCACCCTCCCTGTCTCGTTTCCTGCCTGTAAAATGGAGATGGTCCCTACTTCCGGGTTGTGGTTAGATGTTTGGCTGCATGTGTGTGTTCTCCCTGTGTGCTGCCCCAGCTCTGTGCAGACAGCTGGCACAGCAGACCTCGAGCGAACTGCTCAATGACCACAAGATCTGTTAAGGAAGGAAGGTGCCAGGCCAGGTTTATTGTCGACGAAGCATGGTACTAGCACCTGGCAGACTCTACAAAGATACTAAGACATGTATGCTCATGACAATGGACGCAGCTCAGCCAATGGTGGGACTTTCCACTGCTCCCTAGGCTGGCCAAAGAGATCCATCTTCCTCTGAGATCCATCTTTATACCCTGATACAAACAAGTTATCTCCTGTCATCCTGACCTTATTTTTTAGGAGGGGCCGGTGTGTTCCTCTTATTTTTGGGGAATATTTTGTACCATCCTTGATATCAGGATGTTCTGGTACCACTTGGTATCGGGATGTGTTTGTGTGAGCACTTTGTACTTAGCACTTCTTAGGAAGGTGTATTTCTGCAATATTTGCCCTGTTCTTGCCAGATTTTGTGAGCAGGTCCTGCTTTATACCAGGCTTCTGATACAAGGGCTTATGTCTTAGGCTCTTTTCCTACTACCCCGGTCATGGGGGTGTTCGCAGAATCCATTTGTAAATGCCTGGAAGATGCTTTGAAGATGAAAAGCACAGGAGCTGGCAGCCTTATTATCCAGAGTGGAGATACCTCCTGCCTGATGAATTCCATGCACTTGTGATGGTATTTAATTACTGCTCTTTATTTATGATGGTATTTATTATTACTGCCCTGAGGTCCCAGGCAGTATCTGGGCCCCATTAGATTACAAAACCACACAGGGAAGTGTGATCCTTGTCCTGCTTACTTAACACGATCCGTGATCTCTGGATGATTGGAGAAAGGGACCCATCCGAAATATGGACAGTTTTACATGCATGTTTATATATTCTAAAAATAGATGAAAAGGGAGGCCCATCTGCATGCCTGGAGGGTGCATGGAGGCTCCCAGATCAAAAGACACAGTCCTTTCCCCAGAAGGTCCTTGGGCAGCACATCAGAAGGCAGAACAAAGCACGAGTAAGTGGCTGCGAAAGGCGGTCCTGTGCCGAGCTGGGTGAATAGTTCAAAATCCCCCGCCCCCAGACTGGATTTGCAAATGTTTCCATGGCTGAAAGCACTGTCCTCGTTGTGCTGTGATTTGTGGGGTTGTATTCTCGACTCTTTGTGAGCGTTTGGACGGCTGCAAGCTATTCGCAGAAGGAGTCGCGCGTCCCAAGAGTTTCATGAATTTTAGCAGCCGCGATGACTCATCTGTAAAATCATCGCCTGATTCACAGGTCTCCTAATTAAGATGTTTCCCAGCCAGCTCTCAGGAAGCAGAAACAATACATTTTGATTCAGGTGACTAACCCCATGAACAGTTCACCGACAACTTAGGCCTGGTCTACACCTAAAACGTAGGTCGCCCTGGCTTTGTCGCTCAGGGTTGTGAACAGTTTCGCACCCCGTGCGACAGAGCTAGGTTGACTTCACCCCCACTGTAGACGCAGCGAGGTCAATGGAAGAATCCGTCCGTCGCCTTAGCTACTGCCCCTCGGGGTGGGTGAACCACATCGCTGTAGGTAGCGTCTACACTGCAGTGCCTTAGCTGTGCCGCTGTGGTGTAGCCCCACCTTGAGAGGCTGCACATGATTCGCCAACTCTTCCGCCCACATTTGCAAATAACAAAGCCACTCAAAGGGTTGGGATTGCAAATGATTCGCTTGCCACAAAGGAGCGCGGCTGCTAATGAGGTTTATTCCCCAGGAGCCAGCTCGAGCGTGTGTGAGTGCAGGAGCGGATGGCAAAGCCCAGCAGCTGGAACGTGCGGGTTTCAAATCTGCCTTTGGAATGTTTAATAAGGGCCCAGGCTCCTTCCCTGGGATTTTTTGGCCTGCGTTTGAAGCTCTCAGGATCCCTGCGGGGCTGACTCTGGAAGCTTTTCGACTGGAGCGCTGCTATTTAAGACTTCACTTCTCTTTATTTTCAGGTCAGCGCTCTGCTGTTGCTCCCAGCCTCGCCGGCTCTTTAACGAGCGGGGTGGCATTAGCATAAAGTGATTGCTCACCCCAGCATGAGCTCGCCGGCGCTGCAGCTTGCAGAATTTCCAGCTCCCAGAAAAAGGAAGTCGGAGGACCAGCAACAGAAGCCACAAGGACAGCAAAGATTCCACTGTCGACACCAGGAGAGTGGCCAGTGACTGAGCTGTAGGCCACGCCAGCTCCCTCTTGCTCCCTTTCTGCTCTTTGCAGGTGCCTCTGCTTTTGCCCTGTGTGTGCAATGAATTGGCGGCAGCAGGAGAAGAGAGCCTTCGCCTGGTTGCACCCTGGAAGCGCCGGCGTGAGGAGGAGCACTTTAGACCAGAACATATTGGCAGACGCAAGAGCAGGATAAGGCAGAGGACTGCGAGATGGGGGCATTGCTGTGTCAGGCTGGAGAAAAGTGCAGGGAAGCCAGGGGCCCTTCACTTGCTTGGTGCCCATCCCACTCCCTTGTCCTGTGCCCCTGCTCTCAGAGCTCTGCCCTGCCTCACCCGAGCTGCCAGTGCTTTCACTCCGGTCACGAGACAGCGAGCGCCCCCAACGCCCATTAACTTCAGAGGGTTGCATGGGGCTAAGGAGGAGGGAGAGGCCTGTTTTGATGCATTGTGGGGATTTTACATCTTCCGCTGAAGATACAGACATTGGCTGCTCTCAGACACCAGATGGACCATTGCCTTGTTCTGCTACAGCCAGTCTCATGCTTCTGCAAAGGGCAGGAGCTAAGCGAATGGGGGCCTCAAAGGGCTGATGCACAGGAATTCTGGGAAGCCAGGAGCCTCTCGGCCCGTTCCCTCGGGCTTTTTGTTTATTTACCTGGTTTGTTTTTGAAATTCGAAAGATGCCTGCAGATAAGTCAATTCCTGTGTGTTCTTTGGCTCAGATACTCCTGTAACAGGAAGGGATTCTCGCTATCTATTGCACAGGATAGGACGAGTGGATTTTTAATTGCCTCTTCGTTCTGCAGGAAAAAACTAAGCAAAGGAATATCTCCATAAATGACAAGTAGCCCTGGCAGGCGTCTTGCTGCTTCTCGGGACAGCAGAAAAGATCCTGGCTCAGCAGGTCAGCAGGGAAGTGACAGCTGATGCCCGAGGTATTTACAGGGACGATTTACTAAACAAATCACTTGTCCTTGGACCTGCGGGTTCAAGTGTGATCACCTCAGGCCTTGTGACAGGTGTGTTACATTTTTCTACTAGTTTCCCAAGCTTTAGCCTGCAACCCCCCCTCAGCCATAGGTACAGATCTCCAGAGACACGTGTCTGAGTAGCAGAAGTCCCTTTAATATCCCTGAATTGCATTACAAGTAATACTGCAGGTGGCCGGTTCTCGGTAGACATGTCTCCCGGTGTTCTGTCAAATACAAAACCTGGCAGAAAAATCAATCATGCACGGAAAATTATTGCTGTCAGATTTCCTATATACAATATAAACACGGAGCAGGGACTGGCCCTCCTGTACTGTCCCCAGTGCAATCAAACCAGGGGGCTGGTTCACCCACCGCTCCCATGGATAAACCCCGAAAGAAGGTGCCCCGCCTTCTGTCCCCACGGGAAGGTAAGTTATGGTAATAATGGTGAGTCCATCGGGGAAGGGCCCATCAGAGAAGAATACTCACAGCGTGTGTGTGTGTGTGTCAGTGCTGAGCACCTCCCCTGCCTGACACCTGTGTGTATGTATGCGTGAATTGACGTGTGTGAATGGCCCTGCATGAGGCTGGGGGAGTGGGGGAGTGGAGCTCTGCATGTCTAACGGGGAGTGTGTTTGCACACACAGAGCAGTGGTGCAAGGGAGGCTACGTGTATAGAGGATGTGAGTGGGACACAGGTCACGATCTGAGGTTATGGGCGTATGCGTGGTCACGTGTGTGTGATTAGCCGTGAGTGCGTGGGGCAGGTAGGATTGTGCCTGTGAGGTTGTGCACCTGGTGCTTACATGCAACTATGCAGGTGTGTGGAGCCGCTGTGCAATCAAGGTGTGCATGCATGAGTGTGTGCACGTGTGTCCTGTGAGGTGAGGTGCACAGAAAAGACTGCAGACATGACAGCAGACGTGAGAACACATGTGTGCAAAGGAACATGGGAGGCTGTGTATTGGAAGAAGGACACGGGTACATGTGTGTGCATTCCTACATGCGTGAGGATCTAAGAGCTGGGCATGTTGGCAGGCCCCTGTTGCGGCTGAGCTCTCTGGCACAGACCGCGTGGTGACTGAGAGTCAGTCACAGGCTCAGGCTCTGAGGTAGGAAACAGGAAGTGTTGTGGTGGCAGTCACCCGCCCCAGGGGGATTGCATGGGATGGGGAGGAAGCGCAGCACGCCCGCAGATGGTGCAGTCAGTGGTGTTGGTGAAAGGTTTGGTGCACATGGGAATGGCAAAGGGTGTCTCCATTGGGAAAGTTGCATAGAAAGGATTCTTTTATTCCCTGCACAGCCTGGAACCCTGGCCCAGGGCAGGGAGACCTTCGGCATTGAGGAAGACGAGGGAGAACAGCTTTGCCTTGACCCGCCTGCTCCCAATGGGCAGAATGCAGAATCCCTTTCGAAGTGGCAGTGCCCAGCTGTGGCAGGCTAGCTTTAGTTTCTCCCGCCAGCTGTGGAACTGCCAGCTACAGTCTGGGCTGGGCCTCCCTGCCCCTCAATCTGGGAATACGGGAGTTCCCCAAGGTCACCGAATGCCCCGCATCTCTCCCACTCCGAACTCTCGCCCTGGGAACAGCGCGGCTCTGCAGGCAGCTTCAGACCCTCAAAGGACACATGCAAAGGGGCCCCTAGGGTCTGGCACGGCCCCTTCTGTCATGGCAAATAAATAGTCAAAAGCATAAATTATAAATAATATAAATTAGAGTATTTAAATAGACCCCTCCCCCCCCCAACTTTACAGTAACACTGGTTCTCTCCCTATTCCCCAGCCTCTGCCCAAGGGAACTCCAGCTCTGGGACTGGGGGGGGCTGTTCTAGCCCCTGAACATCCCAGTCTGTCTGAATCAGCAGGATGCACCGTTGATTGGGCAATGTGGGAAGCCCATTGGGACACAGGGGATCAGAGCACAGTCCACAGCCAGAGGCCCTCCTGTTGGGTGGACTGAAGCCCCCCCCCCACATTTTGAGTCAGATTGGGTCAGGGTGCTGCCCTCTCGGACTTGGCTGCCAGCACAAAGGCCCGGTTCGGTGCAGCCACCTCCCAGCACAAACCCGCAGCGTGACATTGCAGCCTAGAGGGAGCATCGGGATGGGTGAGGAGCGGGGCTGGCCTGTCCCAAATTCAGATTGGGATTTAACGCCCTGCCACATCTCCTCTGGCACGAGAAGGCCATGAAACCTGAGTCTGCAGGGAAAAGTGTAGGTATCGATTGGATAGCAGGGGAATCTGGCTTTGACATCACAGAGCAGCTAACAGAACCATGCCTGAGAAGGACTTTTCCCTTGGGCATGTTGGCTGGGATCTTAGGAGGTTTTTCTGCCTTCCTCTGGGGCATTGAACGGAGACCAGCTGGGCATACCCAACAGGGCTGATAGTTCTGGCTATGGCATGTGGGCCCTGGGCACTGGTGGAGCTTAATCCTTCCTGGCGTCTTGTCCTACATTGCCGTGAGATTTGGGATGGATGGAAACCACAGAAGTTTTAAGTTTTGTTCCAGTTCCTCTCACTGTAAGGGTCTCCTGTCATAAAGCACTGGATTGTGATGGCCGCACAACTCCCCGGAGAGTCGGTAACTCACTCGAACAAGAGCAACTCTCTGCCTCCCAGAATGGCCCTCCAGTCGCGGGGTGTGTGTGTGCAGTAGTGCCAATCACCAAAATCCTGAGATGTGTCTTAAAAATCATGAGATTGGTTTTAAAACCTCCTGAATTTGGGGTTTTCTTTAATTTACCTTCTGGTTTTTGAACATCTAGGGGGCACTCAGGTTAGGGTTCTAAACTTTTCTCTGCACCAAGAAGGGCTAGAATCTTCCTTTATGTTTTAAATGAAAGCTGAGATTCTGACATATTCCCCTGACTCCAGGAGCTGGGGCTTGCCCCAATACCTGCACTGCCACATGGTCACTCGCTCCTAGAGCCAGGGGATAGTGAGATTTTCTGTCAATCCCATGGCTGCGGCAGGAGGGAATTTGCCCTTGGTGGCTCGCCCCTCATCCCTCCTGTCAGTCACAGAGCAGAGCAGCTCCAGAGAGGTACTCCTAGGGCAGCACAAACAAACCAACAAGGACAGAAACTGCACATAGACCCGCCCCCTTCCACCAGCCCAACAGCCGCACAGACACGCCTCTCAGGTCCCCCTCTCCCTCACGGGCCCAGCAGTCACACACACCCCACAGGCCCAACTGTCACACACCCACAGGCCCAACAGTCGCACAGACACCCTTCCTCTTCACAAGCCCAACAGTCGCACAAACACCTCTCCCCCCTCATAGGCTTGTCAGTCTCACAGAACTACCTCCTTCCACAGGCCTGTCACTCATGCAGCATCCGCCCTGTCCACAAGACTGCCCCCCCAGAAGCCTGTCAGTCACATAGACTCCCCCATGCCCCAGCCTGTCAGTTGACTCCCCCACCCCCTCCCCACAGGCCTGTCAGTCGCATTGATCCCACGTGTCCCCTCGCCTGCCCTGTTCCCTTGTCAATACTCTTACAGTTTCACAGCTGATGCATTTTGAATCCAATGAGTTTAGCTCTTGCTGGAGAAGACAAGTTTCGTTTCTCCCCAGTCGATTCCCGCAGGGAGAAGAAGCAGCACTAAATAAATACAGCAATAAATTAAATAAATACACAAGGAGCTTCCCAAGGTCCCTTGGCCTGAAAAGGAGCTAGGTGCGAATCCCATGGGGAGGAACTTGGACTCGCCAGCTCCCGAGTCAATCCTGCCCCGATTCCCCCAGCCAGCCAGGAGCTGTGCTCCCACCAGCTGCGAGGGGTAGAGCTGGGAGCTGGGGGATTCGGGTCAGAGGGCGGGAAATGGGAGAGCTGTGGAACCGGCGGTTGGCACCATTGGAGATTTCCATTCAAAAACGTCACCTGGTCCGTGAAGGAAAATTCCTGGGACCCCCCAGCCCCACACACCCTCCCCACGGCGGGATGCAAGTCAGTCTGAGCATCCCTGGGAAAACGCATCCTTCCAGCAAACACGGCTGGCCCGAACTGCAAAAGTCCCTGCCGTCTCTTGCGCTCCGAGTAGCCCAGATTTCGCTGGTGGGAGAGGGCGGGGAGGGAACCCCCTTCCTCCCAGATGTCGGCAGCTCCTCCTCTTCCCCGGCCTTTCCTCTCCCCTGCCCTGGGGGACAGGGCTCAGTTCTCTATTGCACAGCTGTGTTCGGAGCCCTTGAAGCAGGCTGACTCGTAGTGCTTGTTGAGGTACGACTTGAGGGCGAAGGTCTTCTCGCACTGCTTGCACTTGTAGTGCTTGAAGGCCGAGTGGGTCTGCATGTGGGCCCGCAGGTTGGAGCGGTCGGCGAAGGCCTTGCCGCAGTGGGAGCAGCCGAAGGGCTTCTCGCCCGTGTGCGAGCGCATGTGGCCCTGCAGAAGCCAGGGCCGGCTGAAGGCCTTGCCGCACACGTCACACTTGTGTTTGAGGTTGTGGGTCAGGATGTGCATGGCCAGGGCGGGCATGGAGACGTAGGCCTTGCCGCAGGTGGGGCACTTCCTGGCCATCTTGCTGTCCAGGCTGCGGTGGGTCTGCTTGTGCCGGCTGAGGTTGGAGGAGGTGGCGTAGGTCTTGCCGCACTCGTTACACGAGTGGCGGTGGTTCCCACGCCGCTGGCTCTCGCTGCGTCGCCTGGAGCGGCCGTCAGTGATGAAGAAAGCATCCATGGAGTAGCTGTCTGTGACTGCAGCTTCGCCATTGAAGTAGCGGGCAGAGAGGCTCGACTGGGGACTCTCGGGGTCGCTGTACTCCTCGTGAGCCGGGGCGTAGACCGGGTCTGAAGACACCAGCTGAAACCCTTGTTTCTTGTCAGGCTCATAGTCGGAGGGCGTGAGGCAATGTTGGCTATACCCTGCAGGAGACAAACACAGATGGAGATCACCATCTACCAGGGCTTCTCCTTCCCTATTTGTGTATCCCTGCCCTTTCCTACCTGCCCCATCCCTGTGAGACCAGGACTTCCCTGGGACAGCCTTTAGTACACTGCAGACTTGCAAGAAAAGCCGAGGTGGGTTTTGGGTGGAGATGGGCAAAAGCCAAAAGCGCCAAGTCTGGGTGCTCCTGAACTTCTGACGAGGGTTCAGGATCTGACCCTGCATCCAAACCTGGCACTGGCCCGCTGTCTCTATGACGAGCCAAACGAGAACCTTCGGTCTGGGGGTGATGACGGGACAGGAGAGTGCTGAAAACTAGATGAGGATCCAGAGTGAATGTCCGAGGGGGATCCACTCCTGAATCCTGACAAAGACCTGGGGAGTGACTGGACCCACAGACGCTTTCCCAGCATTCCCGTCTTGCCCGTTGCAAGGTGGAGGAGGACTTGGGAGGTTTGGTCAAAGCTGTATGGCTGTCCATGCAGAACAGACATGATTAGTAGTCAGTGTTAGGGACCTTGCTCTCATAGGGAGCCCCTAGTAGCCAAGGCCACATTGGCCACGTTCTGAGATTGGGGTTTTATTGCAAACTGAAATCTGGGACAGGTTCACCATTTGCTAACATCTGCGAAGCTGTGGGTGCAGCCGGGCCTGGCAGAGTGCGCTATTCTTCACCCAGCCTGAGAGACAGGAGTCCTTGGGGCACAATCCCGGATCTCAATGTGCAGCCACCCTGTTCCCATTAGACCTCAAGCAGGGCACCATTCCTCTGTCCCGACCCAGCCTCCATCTGTATCTCTCCTTGCCACACACCATCCACAAGGAGAGAATCCTAGCCGCGCCGCCCCTCCCCCCCCGGCCCATTCACTCCACCTGCCCTTTGAACCCGTTCTGCAGCCCCGGCCTGCAACCAGCCCCTTTTGGGTTCCATCACTTCTCAGGCCATTAGACAGCTGCCAATGCTTAATTCCTCGTTGTGACACTGTGGCAGACACTCACAATGAGCTGTGCTGTCTCTCAGTGCTGACCCCCCCTTCCAGAAACCTGGGGGAAACTGGACAAGCCCAAAGTGAATGATCAGGAAGGGGCTTGGGACAGAACACAGAAGTCACCCTGTCTTGCCCTCCATCCCCAGCCATTTTCCCTGGGAACACAGGCCCAGCCTGCTCTCAGCGATATCGGTGTGCGAGCAACCTCTAAATCATAGAATCTCAGGGTTGGAAGAGACCTCAGGAGGTCATCTAGTCCCACCCTGCTCAAAGCAGGGCCAATCCCCAATTAAATCCCCAAATGGCCCCCTCAAGGATTGAACTCACAACGTTGAGCTCTAAATGTAGGAGCGGCTGTAGGCCAGCTCTTTGGCTGTGGAGCTGTTTTCACGGCGCATCCTTCAAGAGAATACCAGATTATTGGCTTGGCTCTCGCCAGGTGCTTTATTGGCAGAGGGAGACTACAGAGTCCGGGAGCACGACTCTCCCGGAGACACAAAGGGGGGACGGATGTCGGAGGTTGGGGTCAACTGACAGAAATGCAGCGGTAAGGAAGCTGCAGGCAGTGTACATGGGAACAAAAGCAAGACACATGAACCCCCTTAAAAGGAAAGCTAGTAGGGAGAGAACCGGCTCAGCTCACTGCAGGGAGCTGGAAACTCCAGGAGGTTTGACCTTCCCACTGGGAAGAGTCAGGGAGTCTCTAGGGGAACTGCTGGAAACCAAAGCCACCACCTGGAGGGCCTTCAGCTCTGAAACTGTTCCAGTTTTCTGTGCTGGGTACCTGACAGTGGGGCTCCACTGGAGCAAACCGGCCTTGCCTCTCAGGGGATTCTGCAGCATGCAGGGTGCACGCAAACATTGATCCTGACTCAGTCAGTGTCAGTGTCAGTGTCTAGCCATGTACTGATCTCAAACCCACAGAGCGATTTCTGTAGGTCCGGTGTGCGTGTTCACGGGGAAGCATTGCCACAGAAGTGCCATGCTCCGCTTCTGTGCCCCATCGGCAGGGATCCCTGGGGGTCCACCCACCGAGTGAGAGGAGAGGATCAGGACCATACAGTGCCCGGAAAGGTAAAACACTCTAATAAGGTGATTCATGAGAGGGATATTTTTGATGCACTTAGCAGCCTTCTGCAGTGTATATTTCATGGCACATCTTTAACTTAGGGGTCTCAACCTTTTCCAGACCGGTCCCCATGTTAACAACAGAACAAGTTTGGGGACCCCCTTATCACCCTAGCTATTGAGCAATGGAGGGTGGTTTTGACTCTCAGCTTGAGAGCCCAGGATCTGACTACAAACTCTACCCATCTGTAGGAAGTAAACCTCTCTCTACAACCTGGATATAAACACCAGAGCTTCCACCCCACGCATCCTGGGTTTATTATAACTGGGCACCTAACAAACAGCCCCACAGACACATGGTGTGAAACTGTAACACTCTATACAACAGACATCACCTGATCACTTAGTGTATTTTGTTGGTGTGATGATCTTTGACCTCACTGAGCTGGTAGAATAGTTGATCTTTTGGGGACTTGGGATGATGTTTAGCTGTCGACTAATGATTGACACGTCCACTTAAAATACTGAGGGCTGAATCCATCAGAGGAAGCTGTACAGTGATGCCCCCTATTTGTGCATGCAAATTGTGCAAATTGTGCATGCAAAACAGGTAATTGGGCACATACGTGCCCCTCTGCACACACAATGAGCTGGCTCACATGTCCCTGGTGCAGGTGGCCCTGACACAAAAACCTTTGGAAGTGTGACTTCTACATCTCATCTACTGCAACCCGGTACGTGAGGCAGTGGGTTGTTTCTGGCTACCCCATCTCTGAAATTAACCATGCCGGGTCTGATGAGGCTGTGTTAGGTGCCGCTGTGCAAACCCACCAGCACATGCACTCTCACCCCTATCGGTATTATTCACTGGACCGATAACGAGCCCAGATGTTCAGGCTACGAGCTGGGAGCACTTTCACCATTAGCAATGTGGATGCCACTGCTGGCGTGGCCTGGTCAAATATGGAAGAATGAGCCAGATTCTCAGCTGGCATAAACTGGCACAACTCCATGGACTCTGGAGGATACCCCTCCGGCTGAGGAGAGAGAGAAAAGTGTTCTTCCACTGGCAACAGCCTCTCATCGGTGTGCTCCGGCACTTAGTTCAGATGAGCCAGGGATTTCTGGGTGCATTAATATTTCAGCATGTTGATTTGCAAAGACTGATGGCTGTCTGATGTGTGCATGTCTATCAATATTCTTCTCGAATAGGGAGAGGGCCTGTTCCGTCAATTGTTTATTCTCCGTAGGCCTGTGTAAACCCACCAGGAGGTGGCGCTCATAGGCAAAGGTATTGGGATAAGCACATGCCACACTAGCAGAAGTAAGTTCATTCCTGGTAGCACCCTGCTTGCAGCTTCCAGTACTAGCCGGTTGACCTAAGACTGCAGTAAGGGCCAGAGCTAGACCTACTCCTGTGCAGTGCAGCATGTACCAATGATGCTCAGGTGAGGGGTTTGATCCCCACCCTGCCCTAGATATAGAAAACCCTTGAGTTTTCAATTATAAAAAAAAAGTAATGGAAGGGAGCCTGGTTTTGGGCTGCTCCCCACCCTCCATGAATAAAGCCAGTTCCAGCTAGGGGAATAGAGGGGGTATTCTCCCAGAAGAGCTCGAATTTGGGGGTAAGGAGGCAATTGGGGTATAGAATTGTTTTCTGGGGTGCTGGGGGAGGGACCAGAAAAAGGTGGGGATCTGCCCTGCAGGGGGGGAGGGATGCACTATATGGGGCTCAGGACCAATTCCCCACACTCAGTGCCTACTGACTGTCAACGGCCATGACACGATTTCCCATTGAACAGCACTTGGAAACCACCAGTGACCTCCTCCACCGCATACTCCATGTCAATGAATTCATGTGACACTTGTGGCCCCATCCTGCCATTACCTAACCCTAATAAATACACAGCCTTTCTAGAGGGTGCTTCTCGTCCCTGGATTTCACAGTTTATGAATGAACTCATTAGCTTTATTCCCATTTTACAGGTCGGGAAATGACTCACAAGGTGAAGGGACTTGCCCCAGGTCACACAGCAAGTCAGTGGCAGGGCTAGAAACAGAACCCAGGTCTCCAGAATGCCAGTGTCACATTCCATGCACCAAACCACACTGTCTGTGGGGGAGCAGAGTTGGGGTTGGGCTGAGAGCTGTCAACCTCACTGCATGGTTTGTATGTCTGTCAATTATTTGAAACCAAGGCAGGGAGGGCCTGGACCAATGATTTTGCCTAACTCTGCTCATGGTTAACTGTCACAAGCACTAGCTGCTGGTCTACATGAGCACTGCCACCATTGCTAGCAGCTGGGGTGTTGCACCAGTACCAGCAACGGTGGGAGAATTTCACAAAATGCTCAGTCACTTGTCCATGGTCCCAGAATTAGTCCATGACAAACCCGGGAGCAGAACCCAGGTCTCCTGACTCCCACCCCAGTGCCTTAGCCACAAGCCCTTCCTTCCTCCTTTAACACTGACATCAAGTGAGTTTGACTGTCATTGGATCTGACATTTTTGTCGCTTGGGCACTCTGTTCCTAACCGCCTTTGGGTGCCTGATGAGAATGCGCCCAGGTTTCCTCTGTGTGTGGTGACCGAAAGGCACTGGGTGGAGGAGACACACTCAGGCTTTGGTTTGAGGGAGGAATTCTGATCTTTGCTTTAACTCTGGAAAGGGCAGTGTCTGTGCAGACAGGGGATAAGGCCCTGGTGGGGATGGGAAATTCTTCTGCAAATACCCGTCACTCAGGGCAAGCGGCTGCCTCTCCTAAAGCAACAATTTTACTCCTCGCAAGTAGTTTTAGGAGGCGGTCATGCCAAGATGGGGTGGGTGAAGTGGCATCCAGGCTGGGGGGGCAGGGTCTCCCTCCTGGCCTGCTTCAGTCTAGGTGCCAGGTTACAGTGATTGCTTGAGTGTGACCTGCAGTTTCCCCTGGCCCTCAGCCTGCCTAGTTATGGATTTTTGTCCTCTCCCCAACCTACGCTTCCTTGGCTTCCCAGCTCTGGAAAGACTTGCCTTGTAAACCCTTCAAGCATATTTCTGTCATCTCCTAAGAAGCAGCATCCCCTCCTTGCCTGAATGTGGTGTAACCCCCCCTGCTCTCCGGTGGTCTTCCATCACAGCGTGTGTCTGATGGTCTTTCTGATGGAGCTGTGCCGCCTGACATTTCCCCTGCCCCTGCTCCTTCGCCCGCAGCCCCGGCTCTGCTATGGAGCTCCCTCTCCCTCCCTTCCTCTCCTTTCCCTCTCCTTGTTTACAGAGTGCAGTCACACACGCTGGGCGAAAAACACTCTCCTCAGCAATTTTTCACACTTTCTCTGGAGCATGCAGCAAGGTTATTTCCAGGAGAGCGGCTTCAACAGCTTCTCCCCGGCCTGCGTGGATTCCTTTCCCTTACATCACCCAGCGCACAAAATATTTCACACACGTTTTGCTCCACACACACAAAAATGCAGGGAGGAGAGGGATGGAAGAGAGTAGAAAACCTCCGAAGCCATACAAGCGTTTGCGGTACTGATACGGAGCCCCTAGATTCCACCCTCTGTTGGCAAGGCACAGCCTGAATTTGCCATAACCAGTACATCCAAGACATGAGGTGAAAATACACCCCCATCCATCCCCTGTATCGAACCGAGAGATCCTAAGCGCCAGCCACAGGACTAAATGTGCAGCCCCTAAGTGCCATTCGCTCACTAATGCCAGCGGCAGCACCCGGTATTCCTCTTCTTTTGGGCAGTAAATCAATGTTTATTGGTCCTCTTCCAGCTGGGTCATTGACTGGATCTGAGATGATCCGGAGGATGGAGATAAACAGACTATGTTCTGTTAAACTAAATGTACACTGAAAATACTGAATTATGATAACTCTTTGCACTTCTGTAGGGGTGTCGTGGTGAGGAGCTCCAAGTACTGTACAAGCAATAATCAGGGGAGGTAAGTGAAATTATCTCCATTTCAGGGATGGGGGAATTGAGTCACAGAGAGGGTAAGTGACTTGCACATTGCCATACATACTGAGTTAGTGACAGGAGTGGGATTTGAATGCAGGGCTCCTGACTCACAGGGCCAGCGTTTGGCCACAGCATCCTCCTTCCCCTCCTTATTTATTTATTCAGATCTTCTTCTAGGTGCCTAGCGGTATTTACAAATAGAATTAAACCTGTGCAAGACGGTCAGGTCAGCAGTGCTGTTGGGGCACATCAAAACTGTCCTGCCGACAGTACATTTGTCTCAAGACCAAACCCCATCCATGGATGTGCCAAGGCCACCAACTAACTCAGAGGAAGCAAATTCATACGCAAGAGCTTTCTACTGAGTGCGTCTTCTGTTGACCCCAGATAGTTCCATTCTAGGAAGCAATGGCCCAGTTGGCCAGATGATGGTCTGTGCATGATGAGATGGATGGGGAAGGGGAAGTTTCTCAAGAAATGTTGGGAATCCCAGGCCCCTAATGTCATGGTGTGAACCTGAAATGGGGGGCAGGCCTGGCGGGGTTGTGACATGCTGAATCACAGAGCATCCCGAATCTCTGCTAAGATATAGCACGGCCCTTGCTATTCCTCACTGAACCTGCAGGAAGAGGTACAGTGGATGACACAAGCTGTTTGCCTTCCACCCACCTCTCCTGTTAGGTGAAGCCGAGGGAGTCTTCTAATGAGGGGCTGATCTAGCATCCGTCCATGTAAATGACAAGGCTCACATTGGCTGCCTTGTTATCTGGATCGAGCCCAGTCCCGGGAATTGCTTCACAATTCCCCATAGCACCCAGGGCAGGCAGGAATGTCACCTTGGGCTGGGTAGATTAGAGAGCAGGGCCTGGCACCGCAATCCATCCAATACCTCCCAACTTTGCAGCTCACTTCGACGGGGACGTGTCTTAACCTCCCCTGGAACCGCCAAACGTCTGGAAGCAGCAGAGCTTCTCTCTACCCCACCCTCGGAGAAGATTTCCGGGGGTGCTGCATGACACAGCCCTGGGCACATCTGGGGAGCCTCGGGGGCCACCCTGTTGTGGTTTTATCTTGGAGGTACTCTGCTTTCACACCATCATGCCTAGCATTTCTCGCTCCAGCGATGGTGTTGGGCGCTCTGGTTATATGGACACAGAGCAGGGCCGTATTCATCACACTAACACGTTCAGGGCCTTCTAATGGAGCTTGGGGTGCCCCCACCCCATTTAGTTCAGCCTGAGCCTCCTACGCTCCCTCTGACCACCACATGCCACAGGCTGGAGCGTGGGGACACTGGCCATGTCCATCCCTCTCCTCGGCTGTCCTTTCCCACTCCCTACCCTCCACTCTCCCTTCCTCGCTTTTACATGAAGCCAACCCCAGGCAGCAGCAAACAGCTCCCTCAGGTCTCGCTGGCGAGGTGACAGCCCCTCGGAGCCACTGCCTGGCTGGGGCTGTGGAGTGCAAACCCGCTGGCAGGGCTTTGAACAATGAGGCATCCTGGGAACGCGAATGCCCTTGGCCCCATTTCCTCACGAGATGTCCTTTCTCCCTGCCTGGGTCAGCTCCCGTCTCCTGGGGAATTGCTCTCACTTCTCAATGCCACCACTTGCTCTGCAGTGAACAAGCCAACCAGGATGTGATCCCGAGGCGAGCCCAGGGCAGGGGTTAAGCCCAGCTCCAGCCACTGGTGCCCCAGAGGAAATCTACAACCCAGGGACATTTCCAGCTCAGAGGAAATCCGGGGGGCTGTTCAGGAGGAAAAGTTGCTCCCTCTCCCTTGCCCATGTGTGTCCTTGGAGGGTAACAAGTTCTGGCTTAGCAAGACTCCTCAAAGGGCAGCAAAACCCCTAGGAGCAGGAGGCCAGGGGGAGAAATTTCACAATAGAGCAACTCTGAGCAGAGGCTGTTGGGTTCTAGGGTCACTTTCCTAAGGAAAAGACACACCTGCACATTCCAGCCCACACAGTACACAACCACGGGCACACCGCCAGCAACACAATGTATGTGCCTGGCCCCCAACACAATAGACAGACACATGCATATACACATCCAAACCAATACACCCCATCTGTACAAACCCATGCACCACAGTGCACACGCAGTCCATCCATCCAAAGGCGTGTACTCACACGCAACAAAACACACCAGACACACAAACATGACAGTACAATACACATATGCCGGCACATGCATACGCACAACATCCCCCCCAATCCCACAGACACATGCATATGCACAATATAGGGCACTCATCCTAGTATGCACACACACACCCACACCCACCCACACCCCACACACTGTAACTCACATCCACACACATGCATATCCACATAATACTACAAACATAGGTTCACTTTTAAGTGCATATGCCTGTGTGCACCCCCGCCCCCACCAGCTGCACCTACAGAAAGACCCAACACCCTCAATGGAGATGCAACTTTTCCAGTGCAGGCGGCTGCCCGGGGGCCGCTCGGCACATGGCCTCTAGAGTTCGGGGTTCGAATCACCCCACTCCCGAGCCAGCCCCCTGCCGCGAAGGGGCACCTCTGGCCGGGCATTTCCTGCCCGGCTGCAAACCCAACGGGCCGGTTCATGATCGTAATTAGTCTTTAGAGACCGCCCGGAGTCTCCCCAGCAGCTGCGGAGGTCCGGAGACTACGGCGCACAGACCCTCCAGGGCCGGGGGGGGGGGGTCAGCTCCACTCCAGTCAATTATATTCCGCTGCGCCCCTATAATACGCGCTGCGGTGTATGGGGGCGGGGGGGGGCGTAGCCTCCCAATAATGCGCTCCGCTGTGTCAGGGACACAACCCCCCTTCCGACACGCACCGCGGCGCAGGGGGGCTCCTGACCCCTTCGGAGATGCCCCGCCTGGTGCAGGGGACCCTAGTTCTCGGGTAATACTTACCATTCTCGGCCCCGGGGCCGCTGCCCACCCGGGACCCGGCCAGCACATAAGCCGCTTCCAGGGGATGGTAGCTGGGAGCCGGGACCTCGCAGGGCTGAAAAGCGTCTGCTTTGATCTTCTTGACCAGGAAGGAGCGGGGCATGGTGCGGGCTGGGGGGCTCCTCTCCTGCTCGCCGAGGGGATCAGCACTGGACAGCTCCCTCCGCTAACTGCGGGCAGGGAGGGCGGGGAGGGGAGGGGAGGGGAGGGGAGTGGGGG